CTTCCAATGAGCTAATATAACTTTCCTTATTCTTCTATTTCAGCATGGTGAAGAAGGTCAATTGAGTGCTGCGTTTGCTGCTGAAATGCAGAAGCTGCCAAATGCGAGGTATGATAAAGTATATGGAATCTTGCCAGAGTTTTTCATCAAGTAGTGTAGAAGTGAAGTGGTCTAGCTGGTCCAATCCACTTTGAGGATAGTAGACAGGCTTCTAGTACGCCTAAGTTCAAACCCTATGCAGTTCCTTCTCAATAAATAAGAAACAAAATTTTTCAATGGTTTGATGAAAGGGAAAATTCCAACATAAAAATCATTCCCCTCAAATCTAGGAGCTTACAAGAATCAAGACCTATGTAGCTTAGGTCACGAATCAACTTCTTAGTAGTTAACTTGTCAACTTTTCAGTTTACTATCCTTTTCCTCCATCCTACATCTCAACATTTAACTATTTTTATAACGTTGTTTCATATAGAGTTCAACCATTGGTTGCTTGATCCACAATTTATATGGTTACCTTCTTGAGTTTGAAATGGATTGGAGAAAATTCCCTCATGTTATGAATTTATTTCGTCATTTGTGGTGATTGAAATTATTCTTTGCAAGGGGATGTGACCACACTCGTACCATATTTTCTGGATGTGCATGTCTTCCCTCTGTCCTTCATCACAACTTCTAAATATCTTTATCCAGTCCCTTTCTACAGCCAAAGCATTCGTTTCTTGTTCCCACAATTTGTTGGATTACAGACTGATTTTCTGTATTCAGTTTTCATGTTTGTGGTGACTTGGAATCTTTGTCTTCTGAAGGGGATGTGTCCACACATCATGATATCTGGATATGCTGGTGTTTAGTACTCCAGAGAAAGTAGTAAAAATTTGCACTAGATGATGGTAACCATTCGTATGGTGCAGTCTCAACATCTGGTTTTATATACACATAATTTTTATCATTATTTAAGAATATTAAACCGTGCCCCTTTATTGTTGCAGATATGTCCCCTTCGATTTTCATCACGTCTGTGGTAGCTCGAAATTTGAGAACTTGCAGCTTCTATACGATAAAATTTCTGAGGATTTTGAAAATCAAGGGTAATATGGATGGAAATTCCGGATACAATTCCTTGAATATTAAGAATTCCAAAACCAGGTATGCTGGCTATCTGTAATTCAGTTTTTAATCGTTGCTGTTCCAGCTGAGCAGATACCTCCTCATAGATCCAGAAGGAAATATACTGCAGGAGCAACGGGGAATTATTAGATCTAACTGCATAGATTGTCTGGATAGAACAAATGTTACTCAGGTTTGTGAGAAGAGGATGTACTCCACTTCAACCATTTTCTGACACATGCTAAAGCTTTATTCATTTTTTGGTTTCTAATGTTATTTCTCTCACTTTAACAGAGTTTCCTCGCTCAAAAATCATTAACCAAGCAATTACAGAGGATCGGAGTATTGGGATCTGATGAATGCTTTACGAAGTTCAATGAAGATTACACAAAATTTAGATCGTGTATGCCTCCTATTTCATTAGATCTATAGACCCTGAACTTAGAAGTCTGCATGGCTACATAAACCTTTCACGTCTCATCCACATAAAGTCACGCATATCTACTAAACTGTGTATTATCATCTTCCTAGTGTGGGCTGAACAAGGTGATGAGATAAGTCTCGAGTATGCTGGTACTCATGCTTTGAAAGGAGACTTAGTGAGGTGAACCTACCTCCGAATTTAATGTTGTGATAGTAAACTATTTAAATACTTCCAGTAAATGGAACTTTCGCAGTGCAGATATGGAAAGCTGACTTTTTCCGGAGTAATCAAAGATGGGATGAGTGCCATAACAAGATATTATCTCAATAACTTCCACGACGGAGTTCGGCAGGCAAGTCTTTCTAGATCTATGAATATCAGTGGTTCAATTGAATTGAGCTCCATTTCTGAAGTATATTGCTTTATCTTGTCCAGGATGCAATAGATCTTATATGTGGTCTCTATAGTATCAACAAACATGGTCCTTCACCATTCCAGCTGAATGGATTTGAATCACTATCCGTTAGTATTTTCTACTCCATTGTGTATAGTGATAACGAGAACAAAATACAATTCTTGATTGTGATCTATCCAAAACCATACTTTGATTTGCCTGTTACATGTTATAGTGGAATTATGCGACTAATCAGGAGCATCGTTAAATTTCTGAGCCCAAGTATTTTCTAAAATATATATCGAATTACTAGTTTACTTCATTGTGCAGTATCTCCCAGTAGCATCAGCTTTGGTGGTTGGAGGTTTAACGATTACATCACTCACGCTTCAGCAAGGTATGAATGGTATGGTCATTATTTACTCAAGATTGTTGTTTTGCTTATTCTTAAGATGGCGAAAAATTAAAAATCTGCCCCATGATTTTCTCTTGTAGCTGGAAGGAACGCCCAGCAATTTATGTCATCTGTGCTTTGGGCTGGTGTTACTGCTGGGGTGATGGCAGTGGTCAAAGCAAATGGCAGACAGTTCTGTTCTAGGCCTCGCTTGTGCAGCCTCCGTTAAAGGTTCGATCCCCACCTTACATTCTGATTCTAGTAGGCTTTGTAAGCTATGGAGACACAAAAGCACTGCTGATTTCATGTAATTGATCCCGTACACGATGCATATAGCGTGTGCCGATTAGTACCATTTTTCCTATCTCGTGTTTTAGTTTAGAAAATGGTCAAGTTGGTTCACGAGTTTTTTAAAAACTAAATTCACCTTTCATAACATCTTGTTTCTTCGCAATTTGTTTTCAAGCTACGTTTTATTAGTTTTAAATTTTGAATTAGATTTTAAAATAACAAAACAACGAAATTGTTGGGAACTCTGATGAATTAGACTTTTTTTTTTTTAAATACCCTAAATTCAAATATTTAGAAATATAATGAGTTGTGAGCAATAATTGTTAACTTTTTTTTTTGTAGAATCTAAAATCCTTGGAAGTTACTGTTGTAAAAAGAACAAATAAAATAATCCAGGGAGCATGGGTCGTTTCCCAGTTGGGGTTGACCGGCGTAGCCCTTAAGCAGTCAGCAAGATACCAGCAAGATACCTGATGACGACATTTCAATCTTCTATATTCAATGAATGGATAAATCGGTTGCCATCATTTACGTGCCAAATTTGGGAGGAGCATCTATGGTGACAATGTAGACTACTATTCTCTTCCTGCTACATTTGTGAGTGATTTTAAAATAGATAAAATTACCTATATGGTATTGAAAGAAACACGTTTTAGTTTTTATAAAATAAAATTTAACCTTAAAAATTGTTAAATCAAACCTTATTTAATTTTAACCATCGATTATGACTCAGTTTTTTATTGTCATTTTTGTAATGACCTGATTTTCTAAAATTTTACAAATGCCATATCACTCTAAACATTTGCATGGTGCACATAAGCACACAAATTATAGTCATCTAAAAAAATAGTATGTTACCTTATTCCAAAGAGCAAAAGTTTTGTAACAACGAAACTTACACGACCATAAAGAACAACATTATTTAAACCAAAAGAAAATCAGAGAGCAAGATCGGTCTTACCTATGGGCAGTTCTTGGTGCTACTGTGGAAGCAAAGCATGGAGACAAAATGAAGACGAACAACGTCTGATCACGCAAAACCCAAACGGACGCCAACCTGATGCTTACTAGGTGCTTCCTGAAAAATATCCCTTCATTGGATTTATGGAAATAAAATAATATAATAAAAATAAAATAAGAATTACTCTTGCAACAAGAGCTGCCCCCAACTTACAAACATATATATATATGTATACAGACAAGGGGACTGACAATTAATTTCCTTCACCTCTTATCTTAAAATCTTCAGAGGTAAATAAATCAATGGAAGAAAAGAAATAAAAATAAAAATAAAAATATAAGTTTATATTTGTATTTTGGAATTTGTCAGAAAGAAGGGAAGTGGAGGTGGGTCAATTGAGATAAATATAGGGGAAAACAAATACAAGTGGTCGAATAAGTTAAAGGACTAAATTTACCGACTGTCAGTTTTGTATTGTCACAGACAGCCACTTTTGATGTCTGGCCAGAACAGCTTAACAAAAGCCAACGTTGGTGTTTATCAACCGTGTTTCCACGTGGCATTTCCTTTGTGTTCCAATTGTCAAAATACTTACGTGTCCACTTCTCCGCCAACTTCCTGTGGTTCCCTCAATGTAGCCCAAGGGTCCACCGCTTGCTCTGCCACCGAATTTCTAAAACTCCCATTCTTTTTTAAATAAAAATAATACTCCCAACGTCCCTCCCTCCGTCCCTCCCTCCGTCCCTCCTCCTATTTAGGTTAAATTACAAATATTATTTGTTCACGTGATTTGAAATAAAAAAATCTATTTTATCTTTATAATCGAATAAAATCTCTTAAATTAATTCTTATAATTTACTAAAATATGGTCTTTTAATTGTTCACAAGAAAAATTAACGATTAAATTATGGAAAAAATGCTATTAAATTATGAGTTTTGATTCAATTATTCCTCGACCTTAAAACATGATAAATAGGAGAGCCAATTAAAACTACATATATATATATATAATGAAAACGTGATCATTGATTAAAAGTTGGTTTAAATAACAAATTGGGGAAGACGAAAGTGGAGAAAAATTAAAATTTGCTTTGGATTAATTAAGGGCATAAAAGTAATTTTAGTTATGATCAAGAGTGGGTTAAAAAATGAAATTTGATTTAAATTAAGTAAGGGCAAAAAAGTAAATTCACTTATGCTTACATCACAATGCTAGCAAGAATAAAAAGGGAGCATTTTCAGAAATGGAAGTAAAAAAGTTCATTTTTTTAGAATTTCCGAACAAAAACCCAGTAGGCAAAGTTTTCTCCCAAAGTTTCCTTTCATAACTGTAACATATAGAGACATAAATCTCAAAATCTTGATAAAGAAAAAGAAACAAAAGAAAGAAAAAAAAATCCCATAAAATTCTCTGTTTCTGTCTCTCTTGAATCAGCCTTGAGTTCGCCACACCTCCTTTTGTCTCTGTATTTCTCTGTAAATGCCAGGGGACGATTACAATGTTGACTCATTCACAGCATTTTTCGAAGGCTGGCTTCTCCGCCAACAACAATATCTCGACGAGCTTCTAACAGCCACGCGCCGCCATCCCGACGACGCCGCGGACAACAGCGATCTCGATGATTTAATTTCTCGAACCCTCAGCCACTACGAGGAATATTACGAGAAAAAATCCCGAATTGCCCAAAGGGATATTTTTCTCGTTTTTTCCCCCACTTGGTTCACCACCTACGAGCAGAGTCTCTTGTGGATCGGCGGATTCCGGCCGGGCCTGATTTTCCGGCTCGTCAACGAGTCCATAAACGACATGTGGGACGATCAAGTGTTGAGAATTGGGCGGCTGAGGGAAGACGTGAAGGTCGAAGAGCGGATGCTAAACAATGACTTAGCGAAGATTCAAGAAAAAGTGGCGGCGCCGCCGTTGCTGGAGTTTTTCCGGCGGCAGGGCCACGACGGCGTTACTGGTGGGACCGAAATGGAGGCGTTGAAAGCGGCGTTTCAGTCGGTGCTGGCGAGTGCTGATTTTTTGAGAAGAGAAACGGCGTTGAAAGTGGCGGAGATTCTTACGCCAGCGCAAACCGTAAGATTTTTGGCCGCCGTGGCTCAGCTTCATCTTAGAATCAGAGCTTGCGGGTTGCAGAAGGATGCTGAGAGACGAGACCCCGGGTGTGGGGGTGTGCANTAAGAGCTGGTTTGATAACCGTTCGTTTTTTTAGTTTTTCCGTTAAGAAAAAACAGTAACGCTTTTAAAAAGCTATGGGTGTTTTCTGGCCATTTCTTAAACACGGATAATTTCTGAGCTGAGATTTCGCAAACAAAATTTGAAAGTAACGTTTAAAACTTAATTAAAAAATCTATAGTTTTGGTGGTGTGTTTCTTTGGTTTTTTTTCTTTTTGGCTGCGAGATTTTAAGGTTAGATTCGTTTGGATTTTCATGTGTTTGCTTAGAAACGGAAAGTTAGGCCTTGGGGAATGGATTTCATGACGTTTGGTGAAAATACATATTTTTGTTCTTTTTTTTATTTTTTGTGTTTATTTTTTCATCAGTATCCCAGTTTTGCATATACCGTTTACGTTTTCATGCATATATACGTTACATGCATACATATATAATTTTTTTATTTTGCACGAAAACGAGAACTTTTCATATACTTTTTCAAATAGAAAAGCTTCAACATAATCATTTTGGCCAATAATTTGAATTTTGTATCTCAATTTATTAGTTTCAGTAGGTGATAATGGGAAAAAATATAAATTGATGCCACGTGATATAAAAATTTAAAAGTTTGAAGCATGCGTTTATGAACAAGAATTAAACATGGGTATTTTTGTCAACTTTAATCCCTTTACAAATGCCTAACTCTATGTTCATCATCAAAATATTGTTCATGGTGAGAATTTTCTTAGTCATATTATAAATTAATCACTAAAGTTTGATGTACTTGAGTCATTCACAAATTAATTATACATAAAACTAAATATTGTGTCTAATAAAAGATAAACATTTTAAATTTTTTTCATATATTTGTGAATTCTAAATAAAGTTGAAATTTAAATTTTTTTAGTTTAAAAACCTAGATGTTGTTATCAAAATCTTTACTGCACTACTCATTAGTTCATTTTTAAACAAACATTTCCGAAGTTACCAGTAAATGATACCATTGGTCTGCTCACCAGCAAAGTCTAGTACCTGTTGATAGGTAGCCAAAAAGGTTATCGGCGGCTTCAAATATTAATGAAACAGGAGGTAATTAATTAGTAGAAATCAAGTTATTTTGAAATTTGAAAGTTTAAAAGTTTGATTTCGTAGGAAAGAAACGTTACAGGGATTATGTTTAGGATAGGCATATTGAAACTGGATCTCTCTCAAACATGCTCCTGCTTGGCTATTATAAACTAGGATTAGATTTGTCATGACATCACCAGTTGTTAATTTGATAGTATAGATCACAAGAAGTCACATACCTATGACCAAAATCCTCCCGAGTTGTTGACAAATCTCGACCCAGAAAGTTTCCTACCAATGACGTCTCTCAACTCGATCTCACCAGGAAATCACAGCTCCTTCAAAATCGAAAAGACCTTCAGAAAATGGATACGATCAGTAAATAGCATCTCACTAAAAATGACCAGAATGAGATTTCAAAAGAATCATACCATTTCACCATTGCAATATACTTCGAAGGCTCCAGAACTTTGTAAGAACGACTGGATAAAATTTCCAAACAGCCAATTGCTTGCGATGCTTCCAAACCTATTGGCACGCAAGAAATAGTACCAAGGTGGTGGTGCCATCCCCAACCTAGGAAAAATCTGTTCCCCCGCCATTATTGTTGCAACGATTCCAAATTGAACGACGGGTACTACTTTACTGAGAAGACGCTTTGGGATGGGTGGGGGATAATTCGCCAAAATAACTTCAAGTCCAGGAAATGATGACTCCAGCATATTTTTCATCGTTATTGCAGTACCTCTGCAAAAAGTGTAAAATCATAAGCACTGCCACAAATTGAGATGAGATAATGGTACAACAACATTTTAATGAAAACATCCAAAACCGTATGGATCAAATGCATGGCCACGGGTTCATAACATCTCCTATCTGTGAATAACATTGGGACGATCTATTGGCCCACTTGGGTTCACGAGTGAAGTTCTTTTTAAAACTATCTCGTGTAATTCTTTTTAATACTATCTCGAGTAATAACAATTGTAAATCCAGTTCACTTTTGGCCCACTTGGGTTCACGAGTGAAATTCTTTTTAAAACTATCTCGTGTAATAACAATTGTAAATCCAGTTCACTTTTGGCCCACTTGTGTTCAATTCTTATGCTCTATGAGCAGAGACCAAAATTCTATCATCGTGAATCCAGTTCACTTTTTATCCCAAACCTAAACATTGAGTAGTCTGCACATTAACCTGTTCTTATACCTAATTAAATTAAGCTTGCAAACATACTCTAATGAAGTTGCTTATCAATGGACACGCTAAAGCACGAGAAGTTCATTTAATTACAGACTCAAAAAGGGGAGGTCAATTGAAACTTCCATTTCTGTCTTGCTCCAAATCAGGTAACCTAAGTACCAAACGATGTGAAGTTGGCTCCGAATGGAATAATTACAAATTGTATTTCTGAATTGAGGTCTGCACCTATGTTCACTCAAACTCGGATTCTGTAACAAGAACAGTGAAGAAGAGTACAACCAGTTTTCTATTATAATGACTCTCAATAGCCGCTAGAGAGGAGAAATTGAAATATTTGTTCAACTGAGGAAGTTGACGATGATAAAAAAAACTTAGACAATGTTTAACAGAACGACAACAGTGCAGCAGAGTACGGCCAGTTTTTCAACAACCACGAAAGGGTGGAGAAATTGAAATACTGGTTCAATCGAGGATGTTACAGAAGTAAAAGAAACCTGTGCTAATCAAATGAAAAAAAACAAAGAAATCATGTTGTTCCAAAGTACGACTAATTTTTCATCATAAGGACTCTCAGCAACCACTAGATAGTTCATAGCAGAGAAATCGAAATGTTTGTTTGATCAATAGACGAATATAGACATAATAACAGAAACCTTAGCTTAAAGAAGTAAAAAAAAAAATCAAGTTTAGAGGAACAAAAGGGAAAATTCCGAAGTACAACCAACTATTCATCATAATGAATCTCAACAACCACTAGAGAGTAATATTCTATCAAAAACAACCACAAGAGAGTATAGAAATCGAAACGTCTGTTAAATCGAGGAATGAAATTAAAGTCGAAGATAATAAAAGAGGCCTGCGTTGTGGAAAATAAAGAAGAAAAAACATAAAACAACGAAATCGAGTTTAAAGGAACAACAACAGCGAACAGTCCAGCGTACAACCAGTTTTTCACCATAGGGACTCTCAACAACCACTAGAGAGATAGAAATTAAAAGGTTCGCTTCCATCAAGGATGTTAAGAAAAAACACTGGAAGGAAAACCACATAAGCGTTTGATTCACTTACTTTCCGCCTAAAATGAGACAGATAGACACAAACTTTTTATAATAATGAAGATGAACTACCTGAAGAACAAGAAACGAAGAAATTGATATTGATAACGCTGTCATGGCCAATTCCTCCGATTCCGCTCTGTTTCTGCATTCCAAAACCAAGACAACAAATCAAGTTGCTGAATATCACAAAAAACGAACAAAAATCAAGATGAATCCAATCAAAAATTAAAATCATTCACCTCCGTAGGAAATTCAAGCGGTTCCTGGATGACTGATTCCGATTTAGGCTAATAGTGAACTCGAGGTGGAGCGTGATTGGCCGGTTTAGGAGGCGGAGGAGTAAAAAGATTCACAATATCAGTAAAAAGCAGAAAGATCGGCAGCCCTAACAGAACTATCTGTGTTCGATCTATCGGAGTCACCAATGCAAAGCTCTCGAGAACCAGATACTCACTTCCACGAGAAGGATTTGGGGGGGAAAAAGGAAAATTTACAAACGAAAATATGACGCCAATTGAAGGCTACAATTGTCCTCGTAATTATTTTGCCGCGTTATTTATACCCCGTCCAACTGCACTTTCACGAGTCATATAGATGGGTCGAATGGGCCGAGGCCTCTAACAATTTATTTGTTAGCCCAAGTTTTCGCAGGCCCAAAATGTAAATGAGAAAAGGCCCAATTAAGGAAGGCGGAGAGTCAACAAAGTCGGCAGGTCAAACAATATTCTGCATGGGTCTTCAGACAGGAATGCCATTAAGTCAACAACAACGGCACGTGCTACGACCGATAAATCAAAATAGGACTAAATCAAAGACTCCGTGTCCGATTCCCATTGTTCTACACTTACTTTTTCCCTTCTTTATTATACAAAATTACTTTATAAACTTGTTTAACATACATTTAATTAATTTTTAACTCAAATCTGTATAGTTTATTCTAAATTATTAAAACTTATATTTCCGACTAACAAATTTACCATTCTATGTCAGAATCAGCATCTAAGTTAAGTGGGAGAGAGTGTCACAGTCTCACTGAAATAAAGTAGGGTGCGATCGACTCCCGCACATTAAGATAGACAAGGACCGACCTTCAAGTGGAGCCCATTGCCATAGTTGAACATCTTCAAACATGCGGCATGTGACCTTAACACGCACGACAAGCCTTAAAAGGAACTCACATTGCAACTTCATAGAGAGAAAGTAGCAACCCACACACGTCAAAACAATCAAGACTCGACCTTTAAGTGGCGCCCATTGTCACAATCGTACATCTTTAACCATGTGGTGTCGTGACCTTAACACACTCACGACAAGCGTTAAGGAGAACTCAAGCCACATTCACATTTTTCCTTTAGTTTTGTGGCTTCATCAGGCTATCGACGAGGTTTGTTTCGTCAACCGAACAACGTTTATACGAAATCTAAACTTGTTTAGTCACACATGTGGTTCATGCGTGCTTGTTCACATATTGTTTGTCGAGGAGAGAATGGTAAATTGGGGAAAAAAAAAGAATTACTTTTTAATTTTTTTTTACCATAAGGAGTTGATGAGAGAGATAGGAGACAAAAGGATGAAAGGTAAGTTTCTCTTAAGCTCTTAATTAACTTTATTGCATAGTGTATGCATTAGCTGATAGGCTCGTCAGCAATTGGCACTAGCTTTTATCATTTCCTTTTACTCCTTTCCTCTGGTGTGAATTCAACCACCAAAAACATACCTCTACGATCACCCTCCTTGTCTCTTTCCACCCACCCTCTCCCTAAAATTCCCTCTCTCTCTCTCTCTCACCCCCTCACTCAACCATGCCCAACTCCGCCTGCTTTCCCGCCCTCCTCCGCCGCCTCCTTTGCTCCGGCAACCTCCCCACTCACCCATCTGAAGCTCTCAACGAACCCAACTCCCAGCCTAAACTCGTGCCTCCAGCGTCCGAGCCCGGCCCGGGCGTGGTGGCTCGCCTGATGGGTTTGAGTTCGCTTCCAGACGCCAATTGGGTTCCTACCAATCGTGCCCCAGGTGCGGTTTCGAGGAGCAAGTCCGTGAATTTCGCGGATTATTTACTCCATTTTGACTCTAACCAAGCCCACCACCGCCGAATCCGAACCTCGGCTTCGTTCCGGGAGGTCCCGCCGTTGAACCCACAGAACGAATTCTTTGTTCTTTACACGAAGGATTATTTCGACGGCTACGCTGTGGAAATTGAATCCAGTTTGAAGAAACTCGAAACGCAGCGTTTTGGCGAAGAGAAACAGGGGAAGGAACAGAGCAGGAGTAATGATATGAAGACGAAGAAGAAGAAGAACAATGAATCGAAGATTTCGAAGCTTAAAGATGAGCCACGAAGGGAAATTGGTAAGAATTTCACCAACAGTAAAAAATGCAGCACGAGTAAAGATTCATTCTCTGTTTTACCTTCGGGTAAATACAAAGACAAACAGAATGTTCCCAAAAATGGCCATACTGTGAATTCGAAGAAGCCAGTGAAGCAACAGGAATCCGCCATTGAAACGGAGCTCAACAAGAACATTAAGAAGAAGGAGAAGAAGAAGAAGAATGTTAGCCGACATGTCGGACAGAAATCGAAGCCCGAATCCGACCAGGAAAACTCCAGTCCAGTGTCGGTTCTCGATGTCCAAGGAATCTATTTCTCAGGTAACTACTCTCTAATAATCACTGGGTTTATTCGAAAAATCTCTTTACCTTATCATAAACTTCTACAGACGAAATGGAGGAAACTGATGTGAAGGGCGGAGACGCCGCCGGCCGGAGCGAGAAACTAGTGGAAAGAATCTGCAGATTGGCGGAGGAAGATATAAAAGAGGCAACGTGGAGGATTAAGAAGGTGGATGTGGAAGAATTATGCATGGAGGTGGAACGACATGTCGTCAATGTGTTGTTGGATGAGAGCCTAGAGGAGTTAGTGTTGTTGTAGTTGCAGACTTACAGTGGAATTCCTTAACAATGACAAAAACATCTGTAATCTGTACATAAGCTCAGCTAGATGCCTTCATGTCGGAAATGTTTGGGACTTTTAGTGGAGAAATTAATTCAAAAAGATATAATTGATTGCACTCACATTGGTCACTTTACTTACTCTTAACTTTTAAAAATAAAAAATATTCTCATAGACCAACATAAATTCTTCCAACATGATTTGTCCTCACTCATATGTGTCATAAAAAATTTTCCAAGACGTCACTCACTTATAGAATTGCTTAAATTTGAAGTTCTTATAATTGAGTCATTGAGAAATAACGTACATCTTGTTGATATAGGTAACAGCTTTTAGTTATTTTAAGTCTTTTTTAATTCTCATATTCTTAGAATTACTCTTATTTAGACGTGATCTCGAGTTATTCATGTACCATGTTAAATAAATTGCAAACGTTAGGCTATTTCATTCTTAAAATTCCACGAAAATCGAGGTTTTAAAATAATTATAAAAAAAAAAAAAAAAAAGTGACCCATACCTTTGGGTTGCCATCGACTTGGCTCAATGGGCCTTGTTGACCATCTGGTCCGTTGTTTGCACTCACCCAGCCCAAACTAAAAAGAAAAGTTTAAACCCAAAAATTCCACTTTAATAAGCGCATTACACGAATACATATTTTTTAAAATTTACAATAGTAACATAAATTAAATAATTTTGAAATATACGAAAGTCCTATTAACACAAAAATAAACATTCGATATTTTTTATTTTTTCGAAAGAAGTCGTTTTTTCATACACAAAATCAATCTAATTTTAGCTCGTGAATGTAACATTATAAAATAGTAAAATTAACAAAATTTAGAGAATAAAAATTATAATTTAAATTAATAATTCTCCAGTTATATATATATATATATTTATTTTTATTTTTATCACAAACCTTATCACTTGGAAAGGATGAGAGGAGAGGAAAGGCGGGTCCAAACATTTGACGATTGCAAAGTTGACTAGGATCCGAAAAAACACAACAAAAGTCGGTGACAGTAGGGACCACATTTATGAAGAGGGCCCACATGAATCCATATTGATGAGAGGTCATATAGGTAATTTGACTTTTTTCCGGCTCAATTTAGGTAAACAAGAAAGTGTTTCATTTTCAAATAAATAATCTTGACTTTGTTTATTCAATGTTCATCAAATTAATTCAAACCATATATTATATTCCATGTAGCTTTCTTTTGTAAACAAATTAATTCATACCTCTCAAGCTCAGTTAGACTTAAATTAAGCTACAGTACTCTTTTAACTTATGTGAATAAAAAAAAAAACTATATATTATAGCTCATCAATATATTTTTAATGTAGATGTACCTAATAATATGCCCATTTGCTAATGTTTATTGAACAAAATATTGAAGAATTTGGAAAATAAAAGGCTTCATATAATAGGGTGTTGATTAATTTATGATCTTTGGAACAATTAATCTTGGATTTATTTATTTATTTATTTTTCATTATTTTCATTAGAATATTGCAAAATAAACCTCAAATGATAAGAATAGGGATAGATTTCAAAATTTAAAAATATTAATGAAATGACAAAATTAACACCATCTACAATGACTTGGAATGATCTTTATGGTTTTAGCCGGCTCATTTATCAAGGACATTTTGGTAAGTTCCAAGTTTTCGATTTTAAGTTGAAGAATTTCAAGCTTTTAATTTTTTAGGTGGTTAACTATAAAAGTGATTTTAAAATTTAATATTCTACACAAAATATTTTAATTTCTAAATATAAAATTATTTAAAAAAACAGAATCAAGAAATGGTTTGTCGGAATAATTAAAATGTAAAACAAATAATCATAGCATGTGAAACTCAATCCACTAGATTTTTAGCCACCCCATCTAAAAAATTTATTTATTAAGATAATTATTTTATGATAGAAATATATATTTATTTATGTTATAGTTAATATTGGTGTAGATGGGTCAGTTCGACTCGATTACAATGCAAAACCAAAACGGAAGAAAAAAATTTAAAGACAAAAACGTCTAAAATTGACCCCACCCCAAGCTTCGAAGCTCACAACTTCGAGGAGCACGGGTCGTTACCCGAGTCGAGGCACGAACTTTGGTTCGGGTCATTGGGATTGTTGGTTGTCTCTATCTAGTGGGTCGTTGCCCTCTCTTGGGGCGAATATGTTAGTGAGCCGGCTTGGTTGATGTGTGCTGAGCCGTCAAAACCAATTTCTGAGTTAGATTGTGAGCGGCTAGCCTATTGTGCTGTGAATTATGGATCTTGATTTTGGGTTACTTGAATGGAATCATTCTCATACCAGATTAAGAATCACAATGACATGGTTAAATTAAGAACATAACTTTGTTACCATATTAGAACTTAATTACTCTCAATCCTCGTACTAATAGAGGAGATGCATTATTTACTTATAAACTCATGATCATTTCCTTAATTATGGGTGTAGGACTTTCTCCCAACCGTCTTGAACAGAAATTAAGAGTAAAATTAAAAAAAAAAAAAAAAAAAAAAACAAAAAGAACTTAGGAAAAGGTGTATGGACAGTAACATGTTGTGTCGGTGAAACAGGGATTGGCCAATCTGTGTGACCAAGTTGGATTTCATAACCAAACCTCAAAATCATCACACGTTTCTATCTTCATTTCTTACGAAAGAAGGAATTAAAAAGCGAAAAAAAAAAAAAAAATCTTTCTGTCTGTTATCCACAAATACAAAATAAATAAATAATAATAATAATAATGGAAAAATGCCCATAATGATATTTGTCGGGTTAGGATTCACCTGTCACCCGTGTTCAAGTCGAAGAAGGGAAACGTTAGTTTCGAGTTCAAACTTTTAATATTGAATCAGCTCCTATGTTGTGGTTGTGAGTCCTCGACTTCATTCACCGGTGGATGCAGATAGCGAGTGATCAAAGAAACTTCAATTTTCCATTAATAATTAACACAAAATAAAGAAATATGCAATTTTATCACGCAACAACATTGAAAAAGGGAAAAAGGGTATCACTTCAAGAATCGGAAACAAATAATCATTTAGAAGAGACAGATCCTTTTGGATTCTACAACACATTTTATATAATTAATACAGGTTGATTATTCATCTCTCTCTCAAATTATATTGACAATTTAATCAATAATGTCCATAATATACAATAAATACCCTTACCCTCATATATATATATAAACTTGAACTTTACACATAATATAATATAAATACATGGTAGGGTTTGATAGCTTTCGTAACAATAATCCCAAAAAGAAAAGCTTTGATCGGAAATGATTAGAACTAAACCCGAATAAATATATCAAAATTTATGGTAAAGAGGTCGATATTTGCCCATTCGAGCTGAATTCAAGCCTAATTCAACTAGTTAAGTTCGAATATGATGAACGAAGAGATTGATATTGATGCAAAAATATACAAAAACGAATATTATATATGATCATCTCTTCCAAGCTTGTTTAACAAAGCTGTGATTAAACCATCTCTTTTCTCAGCCCTAACTTCATCTCTCATTCTTCTTTGTTCTTCCCTTTCTCTCCATCTTCTTTCCAACATTATCCTCTCATGTTCTAAAGCTTCCATTTTCCTTCTCCACTCCATTTCCCTAATTTGTCTCTCTTTTTCCCTTGCTTCAAACGCCTCCTTCCATTGAATCTCCATTTGAATTTGTTGGTTTATGAAATCTTCTAAAATTTCCTTTAAATGATTGATACTACTGCTTCCTCCGCCGTTGCCTTTACCCTTCTTCTTACTCTTCCTACCGCTCGCTTTCGTGTCGCCTCCGTCCCCATCGCTGTCCTCGTTCTCGTCATCTTCATCGGACGATAACACTGTCGTCTTCTTCTTTGATCCACTCCCTCCGCTCTCCGCTTCCGCCCATAATATTCGATGCATTCTTGCCCCGAAAATTGCTTGTAGCTCTGTGTAGAATGGAAATTGCTGCCTTGAAATTTCTGGCTCCATTGTTTCACAACCCTTAATTTGTTCAATTACATAAAATACAATCAATCCTATCAATTTTCCCTTAATCCAACAAAATTTCAAATATTGTTTTCTAATAAAGATATGAACTTTATATATATATATATATATATAGAAGAGAAATTTAGTACCTTGTAACGGGTGACGAGGTTTTTCCATTTACATTTACACTGTTCAGCGCTGCGATTGAAACCCTTTTCTTTCATTTTGGCGGCGGTGATTTCCCACAAGAGTTTGTTGCGTTTGGTCTCCATGAACCGCTGATCCAGCTCGGCTCGGATCATTAAAAACTCCTTTGTTTCTTGAATACTCCATTGAGGAAATCTGTCGGTGACGGCGTTGACGGCGGTTTGATCGGCGAGGTTTTGGTGGAGATGCTGCTGCTGCGGCGGCGGTGGCGGCGGAGGATGTTGAAGTTGTTGCTGTTGTTGCTGTTGTTGCTGCTGAAGGTGGAGATGAACAAGGGGATGAGGATTGTGGCCTTCCATGAGTACCAAAAACTTGAGAAAATTATATAGAAAAAAAAGAAAAGAAAAGAAAAAGAAAAAAAAAAAAGAATCGTCGTTGGAGGAAAGAAAATGAAAGGGAAATATTTTTAATATGTGGGTTGGTGTGAAATCCAGGTGTGAAATCGTAAAAAAGAGGGCAAAAAAAAAAAAAAAAAAAAAA